CCACTCCTGAGCAAGGACCGTCACATGCTTCTCTGCAAAGCCAGAGGGAAAAGGCCAGGGCCGCTGCCGTAAGGGAGCTGCTCTGAGAAAACAGGTCACTTAACCATGACAAAACGGTTCCAATTAGTGTTCTGCACTGAAATGAGCCTAGAAAACAAACAAACTGAAGGCGCTGTTGACATTGTGCCTCATAGATGAGTAACCTTTTAGTCTGGCCTGTAGCATTAATGTGAACAGATGAAATTGTTACTGTGAGCACGACCCAAAGGAGCAAGTGGCAGCTCCACCACCGGCCTTTGCATCTCCACGGTAACACTGCTACCTACGTTTTTATTCACTTTATAAACAAATAACATATTCCACACCAAGTTTTAGGAAACATCATGTAAAAACAAAGGAAAGAAGCAAAGATTACTTCTCTTGAGCTTAAAAAGAAGCTTCTACCAGTTTCAGGTAGTTATCACCTCTGGTTCATACTGATTCAAACCAGTCAGTGTAGCCATGCTGTTTCTACAACAACCAGAGAGAATTTGGGTCAAGAACCACTAGGCAGCTCTGGCCCAAGGCCCATCATCTCTGCAGCACCAAGCACACCTTATACTTGCTGGAATCTTCCCCTCTCTCTTGCTTCCAGAGCCCTTCACACGCAGCTTGCCCACCACAGCCAGCCCGCAGCAGGCAGAGCAGCGCCGCTCCCTCCAGCGACAGCCCGGGCACTCCAGCAGCAGCAGCAGCAGCTGCCCTCCAAACAACCTGACCGAGTAAAACAGAAACCGCGTGATGAAGAAGTACCAGGAAAAAAACCCAGCATAACCCCCTTCCTTTCCTCAGCAAAGGATCCTTGTGTCTGAATCCCACCTCACCAGGATGCACCACTGCTGCCCCAGAGAGGATGAAGTTTCTCAAATGCTCCACTTGCTGTCATCTTGCCCCATGCCCTCAGTATTTTTTTTGCTCTCATAGTTCCAGTGCATGGAGATAAAGAAATCTAAATCAGTATCTCAGTGTGCGGCCTCTGACGTCTAAACTGGGAGAAGGGGACTCTGGGAGTGCCCAAAACTCTATCCCACAAGCACTGGTGCGACTCTGAGTGATTATTTATTCTACATTTTGCTCTCCGCAGCCCTTTTACACTTCCCTTTCACAATATTTCAATCCTATTCCCTGTCTGCCTTCTCGGTTTGTCCCAAGGGACACCCACTCCTACACTGAAATCACGCCACAGACAAGATGGAAAGTCTTTGGAAGGTACTAGAAAGCTGCAAGAGTCAGCCAGGGCTCTGGCGGGAGCCTTGTAGTCAGAACGAACGCTGAACATCGGAGAGTGCTTGTCTCGGGAACCCTCCTAGACCTTCAGCCTGCATGAATGAGCCAGCCGTGAACAGAGGTAGGAAGACCAGCAGGAGATACGTTATCACCTCAGCACCAGCTCCCTTCACAGAGCCGTGTCCTGCCGGCTGCAGCAGAGTCCAACCCACTGTTTTCTCATTTTTCAGAATATCTTAAAGATCAGAAGAAAAATTCTGAGTGATCCCAAAGGAACAATCCCTTCATCCTCTGCCAGCAACTCATACACTGTCAATAGGCAGCTTCCCTGTTCCAAAAGGCAAACAAAGAGAAGAAAATTCTGTATTGCCATCACCCCTGCTGTAACCTCACAGACCACGGTCAGAGCACCCTGAGCCAAGCGACAGAGGAGAGGCACACGTACCTCCCAAGTCACCTGGAAAAACCTCCTCCAGAATCAGACACTGAAGAGTTGCATAGGGATAGTCACACAATATTTCTGAGACAAGTCTCACGCCTCACAGCAGGAAGAATCAAAAGTTATAGCCAACAACAAATACCCTCCCTCACCTCACCTTTTTCTCACTCCATGTACCCCCTGCAGTACCCCGCAATCCTCTTTATCTCCTGCTGATGTTCAACTCCACACCCACTGCCTAGTGGAGAAGCAGAGCATGGACAGACTGCAATTTCATTGAAAACAGAAGGTAAACAAAGCCTTCAAATAACTGGCCCCTCATTAAAATGTTTGGACAGGCCAGTTGGCCCACCCTGCTGATATACAATCCCTCTGTAGTTCTTCATTACCACTCCCCAATTTCTCAAAGCCGCTCTGCCACACACATACGCACAAGCTCTCCTGAGGAGCCACCAGAAATAGATTCTGGGGTGTCAAAGTTACCACCAAAGAACACCTCTCTGATCAGTTGTGGAATGTGAAGTAAGAGGTGGGATGCAAAAGCTGTTATACCACCTCCTTCCCTTGAAGTCGAGGGACTCTAAAGATAAAAAAAGTCAAACCAAAATGGATGATCCTCAGAGAACAAAGTGCAGCAGAAACAGAGTAAGTTGGGGCAGTCTCTGCAGACGTGGCACTTCTATCCGGATGGTGGGTCTCCTGTGTCTGCCGGGGAGTTACAGAGCTCCACCCTTCTGCCGAGGAGCTGAGCTAGCAGGTAAAGCAGCAAAGGAAATCATCTCAAAAATTCACACCCACCTCATTTTCTGCATGAAGACTGTCCTCCGCAGGGCGAGAGGAGGGTTCTGCTCCCGGATCTGCAGAAGAGGAGGATCCTTCCCTTCCCTCCTCCATTTAGGCCTCCACTATCCCACCAATGGCTCTGCCACCATCCTGCTCCTCAAAGACCACAACCCTTTTCCCTCACTGCCTTCATCAATGACTTTAAACATTTCTTAAACCCTTTTTTTCTGGACCATAAACTACTGAAGCCAAGGCCTGCCTCCCTCCGCTCACATTTAGGCAAGAGCCTTAATCCCAGCTGCAGTGTGCTGGCAGTGCAGGGAACATCCACACACACAGCTGGGGTTATCCCAGCGGAAAGCAGCCCTATCCCACCAGGGAAAGACAATCGCAGTGAAAGTGCAGAGTGCTGTGAACAGAGATGTACACGCACCGAGGACTCAGTTCTTCAGCGTGCTGAGCGTTGTGGACCTGAGCCACCAACACACGCAAGCAGGAGTTAAACTCCAGGATACTGGTGGGTTTGTACAGACATAACACTGCCTCTCCGTCCTCTCTTCAGCCAAGCTGATGGGTTGGAGCAGATTCAGGTACTTCTATATACGTGCCACATCTTCAACGGATGTAGAAGAGGCCCTTCATTTGTTTCACTGGAGCCATGGGATGAAAGCTAATGATGCAGCTTAAGTGCTCTGCTGAGCCAAAGGTGAAGCGCTCAGAACCTTGCAAAAGCAATACTGAGATATACAGAACTTCTGCAGGAAGGAGAGAGTTGACTTCTCTGTTATTGGACTACTGGGATGAACAAAACAGAGCCAAATTTTCTATTCTCAACATTTTTATAGGATAGTAACCTTCCCACCATGGTTATTTATAAAGAAATGTTACGGGCTATGTTAAACTATACACTACAGAATTTCAAAAGATGCCTTAAAAAATTATGATTCTTATTTTCCCTCATTTAGAGTAATTTCTAGGGAACTTTATTTATTTCCAAGTCAATACTTAGGGATCCCATAAGGACAGTGGTATATCCAAGTGTACCTCTCGCTGCTTGATTCTTATCTGCAGCAACTCAATTCAGTGGCTTGGATTTAAATATGATCTCAAGCCCGATACACCAAGGGGGCAGAGAAGGCTTCCCTGGAGAGCTTAAGGATATGTTAAAAGCACAGAGAGGGCTTAAGCACTGGTTTGGGGAGCCCGAAAGGGGTACATTATCCAGGAGTCACATCAGGCCATTCCCATGTTCTCCTTATCTACAGTCAGAGAGAGGAACAAGCAAATAGGAGCACCATAAAGCTGAGTAAATCTCTGCACTGTCTGTCCAACCCCTTCCTTCTCTGCCTCACAGACGCTTCAGCTCAGCCAGATTAAACCCCAGCTTTTTTCTACCCTTCCCTTCCTACCACCATTGGTTGTCCTTAGATCAAATATTGTAAGTAATTTGTCACTGGAGTTTCTCATGCCTGACAAAAATCAAAGAAAACAGCAGTACAGTGTTTTGAAGCCCTTCCATTCACAAAGTTGGCACAATTCAGCCAAGGACAACATGAAGGTCATTAGAACAGATCCAAGAAAAAAGGCAGAGACTCATTCAGATGGCTGTCAAAGGCTAGTGTGACAGGGCTTGTTCTTTTAGCAAGAGGCATTTCCTGCCTGTAGAGGTTTAAACACACAAACTTAAAGTGTGCATAAAATTACAATATAATTCTACACTACATTCTATTTAATACCTTTATCCCCTGCAAAAGAGTTCAGCACTACAAAACAACGTGATACGTGTTCACAAAGGATTTTCTGTGGATTCCACTGGATTTTCTATAGGTTTTGTAGTGAATTTATTGCCTGCAAAATGTTTTCTTTCCTCACAGTGAAGACAGCCCTGCTAGAAGTCAAGCGAGTTACTCTTGTGCTCTCTTGCCCATCAAGCAGAATTTATCATAAGCTGACAGGGACTATATCTCAGTCTAAAAAATTAACACATTAGCACATGCTGGTGTCCTCAACTAGACAAGGCAAATCGCATTATAACCCCTGCTGAAGCAAAGCCTGGGAATAAACCCAGATGTTACCTCTGCCAGCACAGACAGCTTGCTGCACATTACATACACAAGCACATCAGTTAACACTTTATAACTCACCTTTTTTTATTCCCCAGTGAAAGCAAGACCTCGGAGTGACACACCAGTGCAGAAGCCTTGTGCAGTGCAGTCTTTCACTTCCCAGCTGAAAGTTCTTCCAAGGCCATCAGCTCTCAGGCTGAATTTATGACAGGGCACTTGGCTACTAAAACCAAACTTGTCCCCGCAGCCCACGCAACCCTTGAGTCACCAAACCGCCTTTGCTCCTCAAGGGCTTCAAAGATCTAGAGGGTGACTTCTCCTGCCTCTCTGCTGCTGAGCTCTCATGCTAACCCTTTATGATAAATAAATGCACTTTCATTTAAAGGCCTGTTACTAAACAGGTGCATGCACATTCAGACATAAACAAGGCATGGCAATTCTCTTACCTGAGCCGTTTCTACTTTCAGGATGGTTTTGTGAAAGGTATTCTCCAAAAGCCCTTGCCGCTCTGCACATCCAAGCATCACAGAAGGCAGCAAAGGAGAGAAAGAAAGAGATGGGTAACAGTTAAAGGCCAAGGACAGAAGGAACAGTTCAATATCAATATACTGCGGTTTGCCTGCAGCTGCCCTTCCCTCAGCTCCAGGTGACACCAATCTGAACATGCTGCCCCAGCAGTGGGGGCTCCTGGTTAACACACCTCAGCCTTCCCCTGGACTAAGGGGAAAACAGTCAGACTACAAGCCCAGGACTATTTTAGTCTTTAGCTTCTCTGTTAAAACGAAAAAAAATGAAATGCACCTGCATTAAACCCGGCCTTGTTTCTGTGATACACATAGGTGCTGGATCACTGTCTAACCACTGTAAGTTAAACCCCTTCGGGCAGCCCAGGGAAGAAGGTACCTCCACCCCAGTCCCAACCAGCACCCCAGCCTTCTGCTCTGCTTCGCAATGTTCCCCATCCATGAGCTATCACAGCTTAGTGTTAACGCTAAAACCCATTTTACCTACCTGAACCCTAAGTTATCAAGCACCAACCGTGTCGGTATTTGGATTACGGGACAGTCTTGAGAGACCCCCACAAGGCCTCACTAAAGCAGCTTCTGGTTCTCCGATGGATTCAGGTCCCAGGGATGACTGAGATTTTACTGAAATATATTAAGAATCAACCAGGCAGGGCGAGCTCAACCCTTATCACACATCAAGGCCTGCACAAGAGAGCAAACCTATGAATACTCCAACCAGGGAAAAGCTTTTTGCTTGCAACCCACACAGGAAAGGAATCCTTGGTCAAGGCACGCATTCCTGGTATACGGCAAATACAATCTCCGGTCTCCTGCTGCCAAGACATTTCTAACATCCTGCTGCTGGGTTTGTTCTCCTGTACCCAACCAACCTGACACCAGCTTTTCCCCAGCCATCCATTCCCCCAGGTTTGCAGAACAATCTCTCCAGGGTCTGCAGCATCACCATCAGGCTGATATCTGCCAGTGGACAGTCCAGGGTGGAGGCTCACAAACAGCAAGACGGAACAGCCGCCCACCTCCTCGGCAAGCCAAGCCAACAAAACCCAGCAGCCAAGCACTCAGCCTGCAAGCACACCAGCAGCTCTTGGAGGAAGAGACGAAGATGTGCTGCAACAGGGAACTCTCTCCACGGCATCACGTCCACCAACCTCCTCCTCCTTCAGAGGGGCTCAACCTCAGAACATCCCTCTCCAGCTCAAGCTGTCGCACAAGGCCACACTCGTAACGGCCATTAATCATCTCAGTGGAAAACGGCTTTGACCTCCAAAACAACCTTCTGCTTTGCTACCCAATACAGCAGCATAGCCCAGCCTGTGTAGCCAAGATTTTTCCCCACTGCTTTTATACACCTCCTCCTAAAGGGGCAAAGATTAACAAAGCTACAATACACCTCTCCCAGGGCGACTAGAGGTGGAAATTTGTCATCCACAGCCAGCAACAGGGGATCGATATGAATGACGAAGAGAGAGTAATTTAATCCCCCTGGGACTAAATTTCAGCACAGTCAAATGCAAAATGCTTTGGAGCAGTGCAGCCAGAGCTGTGCAAGAAGCAAGGTCTAACTTTCTGCGTCATTACAGGCTGACATACAGTGCTGAAGTTTTTTCTGTTTCTAGATTCTTGCCTGCCTAGTACCAGGATGTACCTTTTGACACTAGCCTGGGGGGGCAGTTGCCCAAGCTGTCTTCCTCAATGCCTAAGCACCCCCAGGGATGGTCACGCAGAGGCTCTGTCACATGGGGGAGCTGTACAATTAGCACTGAACCCCCATGACAAAGAACAAAGGCATGGCCATCCCCGGGCCGTCACACAGGAGGACAAGCGCCGCATGGATGTCCTTGCACCTTAAAAGCAGGGCATAGTCCTGGGGCAACACACAAACGTAAGGTTGGGAGCTGGAGTGTGGCAACTTCAGGAAAGTGGCTGAGCGACCATCCCTGGAGGTATTTAAAATATGTGTAGATGTGGCACTTAGGGACACGGCTTGGTGGCAGACTTGGCAGCACTGGGTATGTGGTTGGACTCAATGACCTTAAGGGTCTTTTCCAACCTAAATGATTCTATGATTCTAACATCAGGCTACTGCAGCTGCAAGAGCACCCCTGAGCTACTCCTGCACTCCACCTTAGAGGTAGTTCAGGCTCAGGCAAAGCCACAGCTGATCTCACGTAGCACACAGAACAGCCCCGCCTTGAGCAGATGGCTGGGCTTGAGACTTCCAACATCTCTTCCAAGATCTCTTCCACCTTGGACCTCTGTAACTCCAAGGTTTTCCATGGAAATGTCTGTCCTGGCAAAACATAATCACCACCACCCACAAACAGGGCACTTACACCCTGGGGAAACACTTTGAAGCTTCTTTTGCCCATCAGCAGGCATTCCATGTAGAAAAAATAACAACGAGTGAGTTCTCGGGTAAATTATCACTGAGAGAACATGGTGATTTACACACAAAATGCTGAAATATTACAATAAAATGTAGTCTGTAACTAGTTCAAAAGCTCAAAGAGCATGTTAGTCCATCTACCATTCACTCCATTCAACTCTCTGCCAATGCCTGAAGCTGATCTGTCTGACTTAAAATCTAAACCAGTGCTTCACCCTTAGATTGCAAACCACAGGCTCAAAAAATTAGTACCAAGCACTTCCTAAGACCCGAACTGCAAACGGCTACCATGGAGTCAGAGAGAAGCACCGCCACCCTCCATCGCACCTTGTTCTACGGTGAAAATAGCATCACTCAGAATAAGAGCCCGAGTTTAAAGGTGCTGCAGTGTCTCTAACCTCTCCCCTGTTTCCCCACACAGATGAGGCAGGAGGGCAACATCCCAAGTGCCAGAGCTCCCAGAGAACAGGCGATACCCAGACCTCTCCTCGCAGGTCAGCAGCACAGAGCTACCCAAAACCAGCCCAGCCCAGGCTCAACCTGCAGTTCTGTCACCACCGTTCCACCACCACTGCGCCCAGACACCACTAATTGCGGTTATCTAGTGACAGCTCATGAGGCAATGACGCCTGCACAGTACAATGTGCAACAGGGGTTTTCCAGCCAATTACACCCCAAACTTCAGGCCGGTTTTCTTTTTCCCTGTTATCTCAGTGGTTCCCTTCTACAAAAAAAACCAAGCGCCATCGGCTTCTCCTTGGCTGGGCCTCAGCTGATCTCCCGCAGATGTCTGCATGTGCCCTTTGCCAAGGGGATTTGCGGCCGCGCGAGCTCCTTCTGCTCCGTCTGCCCTTGCCAAGCCTTTTGTGTTCCTCCTCTGCCCCCACTGTGCTCACAGCCACCCCAGTTTATCAGCATCTGCCCGTAGCGTTAACATGCCATTTACCCTCTCCTTGGCTACCCACTGACTCGATCAAAATAAAGTCAGAGCGAAATTCAAACAGACAGTAGCTGCTCTGTTCATCCCGTTCTTTTCTATTTCTTTTATCAACAATCTGTATTAATGCAAGTCACACAATCACACCTTTCTCTCAGATCAGTTTTGCCTCTGCTATCTAAGCCAATGTAGTTCAAGTCCCATCAAGCCTGCTGATGGCACCGGACAGAAAACCCTCCAACTGGGCTCAGAGCAGAGACACCTCAGGATAATTTAACTGGCAAGAGATAAGAAAAGGAAACTTATTTCACACAAACGAGATGAAGTGCAAGGTGCCTTACAAATAGACGGGCCGATGAGCTACAACCCTGAGTGTATGACACTGCAAAAGCTGCACACAAAAGAGCAGGTAGTACTAGAGGGGTAATCAGCTGATAACAAGTTGAGCCCTGACTCATCTTGAGAGAGGTTTTCATTTGAGCAGCAGATCAGCCCCACATGTCACACAGTCAGCACAGCTCGATTTCACAAACGGACATCAACCAGGGACCACAGCCTTGGGACTCTGCGCTACCGAGTCTATCCAGTAAAGACAAGAGTGCCATGGCCCAGAGAAAACACCACCATCTTCTCCAGCTTCTTCTCCATCAGAACGACTCCAGGAGTGCGGAGGGTGGGATGGGGCAGCACCCGCACCGAAGGCAGCTGCCCTTCTGAGGGCTTTTTTCAGGAGTCACTGGGCACTACATGTCAAAGCTGGACTCGGGTCTGGAAGAGAAGCTGCCTGAGATTCTGAGAAGAAGCATAGATGGTCTAGACATACATTTGCTAGAAGGAGGAAAGCTGCCAAATGATGAAGATCTCAATTACAACGTGATGAGCATGGAATAGCCTTCATGTCTCTGAAATAATCACATCAACAGGATAAAAGGGGCCCTGATGCACACTAGCAGCTACGAGAAACTGATGCACACAAATTTATGCAATCCACCAAACTGACGCTGAACTGAGTGAAGAAATGTGTACTGAAACACCTGAGAGACACATGAAAGACCTGAGATAACTCCATTTAGAGCATAGCAGCAAGCTAAGCAAAACCTGGACTATTCAGGAGCATTACATGGAAAAACAAAGAACACCCACCACCTCCTCGTGTTCCTTCAGAAGTAATGCCCAGAGGAGTT